GGCCAAATGAAAAATATGCAATGAAAATTGACTTCATCTGAAAAATATGAAGTTTGGACGAATAGTCCCAACAGCTGAGAGTATAAAGGCTATATGGAGATATTGAAATATGATTAGTATTATATTGCAAAAAGAATCCTTGATATAGATTTGTTTATTCTAACGAATATTGTCAAGGTTTTGTTGTTTATGCAAATGCAGGCATTTATTAATGTCCGTTCTTCAAGCAATCTATTTGTATGTGAGGAATTGTCATATTATCATTTCACAAGATGTGTGACTTTTCTTTGAAGAGAAGATTCCAATAATAATGAACAAGTTGATGTTTGCTTATCTCAATTGAAAGAAGAATATTGAAGGAGACTGAATAAATCATATATTTCATCAAAGTTCTTTGTCAGACACGATCTTCAACAGAATGATGAAATAGATGTTCAAGAAATTCGTTCAAGCTCACCAAGGCATTGCTGATCTCAATATTAGAGAAGTTGTTAGACAAGGTTGGAATTCGTCGTGATATTTTCATCAGGGGGAGGCAAATATGTGTTGTACTCTTTTTTCCTTAGCTAAGGTTTTATCCCACTGGGTTTTCCTGGCAAGGTTTGTAACGAGAAAGCAAATAAAGCGTATTACAGATATGTGTACTCTTTTTCCTTCACTAGGATTTTTTTTCATAGGGTTTTTTCCTAGTAAGGTTTTAGCGAGGCACATTATCTTTGGACATCCAAGGGGGAGTGTTATGAAATACTTGATTATGGTGGATGTCCATAACTCCTAAGGGAGTAACACCCACTACTCTTCTCCATTAACCTCCCACTACTTCTTACCATTATGGATGTAACTCCCACACCTCCATGATCTTCCCCCATGTTCTCAGTAGTTAATAATATGTTTATGGAGTCCCTTTGTATTACCTATATCATCCTATAAATAGAGAGTTTGGGCATCACATTGTACACACTTGAATACATGGAAGAAATAGATTCTCTCCTCTCTTTCTCTCTATATCTCTTGTCTATTTTTTTGTTTTATGTTATTACTTTGAGCTTAGTTTCTTAACAAAAACTGCTTTCTTTCAAATTTCAGCTTCTTTAATTTCTTGTACTTCAGTAGTTTGCAACCATTATGTGAAAGCTATTTAGTATTTACAATTCTTGCTTATTTACTTGTTGTTTATACTTAAAGTCACAATTGTAGCATGGCCGGGAACCACACTAGTGGATCTTGAGGGGTGCCTAACACCTTCCACTCGAGATAATTTCAAGCCGTTACCCAATCTCTGGTTTTCTAAATCCAATTTCTTCTTAGTGTCCTAATGCACTTAATCATTAGGTGGCGACTCTTCAAAATTGCAAACCAAATTCCCAAAAGGAAATGAGTTGTCCGCCCAAATGTCATAAACCCGATTTCGCGAGAAAAAGGGGGCATCGACAGCAAAGTGACGGAGTTCCTCGAGGCACACAAAATAAAGAGGATCATATCGACACCATATCATCCAACTGGAAACGGACAGGCTGAGTCAACAAATAAAACTATCATTCAAAACCCGAAGAAACGATTGGACGATGCGAAAGGAAAATGGAGAGAAGTTCTACCCGAGGTCCTTTGGGCATATCGGACGACATCGAAGTCCAGCACGGGGGCCACCCCGTTTTCCTTAGTATATGGCTCCGAGGCCCTCATCCCCGTTGAGGTTGGAGAACCCAGTGCCAGGTTTCGACACGCATCGGAGGAGTCAAATCACGAGGCTATGAATGTTATCCTCGAGTTATTAGATGAAAGGCAAGAAGCAGCGCTTGTTCGGATGGCCGCACAGAAGCAAAGGATCGAAAGATACTACAATAGAAGGACTAATCTTCGACACTTTGGAATCGGGGACTTAGTTCTACGAAAGGTCACCCTCAACACACGAGACCCTAATGAAGGGAAACTAGGACCGAATTGGGAAGGACCGTACCGAATCCTCAGAGTTATCGGTAAAGGGTCTTAGAAACTTAGCACAATGGAAGGTGAACAACTGCCAAACAACTGGAACATATCATTACTCAAACGATATTACTGCTAAGGTACGACTTTATCCTTTATCCATTTGAGTTTAAAACTAACTTGTTATAGATTTTCGGTCGAAGCTATCGAAGATACGCGATCTCGAAGATACCTTTTTTACACGAATACCTTAGGTTTTAAAGCATACATTGCATTCTTTTTTCCTTAGCTCGGATTTTGTCCCAACTGGGTTTTACCGGCAAGGTTTTTAACGAGGGAACAATTATGTGCTACCCAAGGAGAACTCAACAGTATCCAAGGCTTCGTTTCAATCAACCTCGAATACTGGGGGGCATTCCCCTCAGAGATTGTATTTTCAAGGAAAACACTTCACGCCTAAGAGGGCCTCGATAGGAAAACGTTGTAATGGGCCAAATGGTCAGATGAACCGTGTCCATATAGAATAGTCGAGCCCTGACGACAGAACATGTACGCATATATCAAATTAATTGAAGAAGCATTCTGTTTATATCAAAGAAGTCTACCATTATACGAGCTCTACACTTATAATCCTACGGGAAACGGCTCAAGATCCTAAGCATAAAAGCACCCCCAAATACTCGGGGACTGCCATCGACAGTCAATACATCCAAGTCATCAAAAACTCGGAATCAAGAGATCTCAAAGAGGCACCCCCTCGAAACAAAGTCCAAGGCCGATATACTTGGGGACTAACCTATTGCGAACAAGTTCAAAAAGTTATCGGGAAACAAGTCCAAGTGACATACCCGAAGGCTACGGCCATATTAAAGGCTACGGCCAAAATAATGCAGCTCAGAGACATCCGACTTCCGCCACAAATTAAAGGCCTTCAAACACTTTGTAAAAACCGGTTAAATCAATCTACCCTAGGCAAAAGCAAAATATAACGGGCTTCGATAAACTCAGCCCTTGAATAATTTAAAGGCTTCGATAATGTAAGCTCTCGATAAAACCTCAAAAGGTGTTCGATTATCAATACACAAACAAGGTCGCAACATGTCGAACCTTCAAAAAACCCAAGGGGTACAAAAACACATGCTAAGGCATAACTAAATTTTTACTATGTCTTTTAGCCAAAATAAGGGGAAAAAATTAATAGCCGTTATAGAGGCCAAATTGGCCCAACTTATAGAGCCTAAGGGCCAACTTAAAAAGCCTAAGGGCCGATATATAAAAGCCCAGGGCCAACTTCGAAAGGCTTAAGGGCCAGAAACTTATAGCTCGAAACTCCGTTCTCGACCCGGACTCAAGAGTCACGATATCCCAAGCTCACTTCAGGACAATCTAAACAAAGCTCGAGGATAATTGTATCTATCGATAAAAACCTAAGGGTTTATTATGTTCTGACTCTGAATCAATACTCTAATTGATCGTTTGAATTATTGGAATCTTCCGCAAATGTAACAAAATTCAATACGAGTTGAGGATAGAGCGAAAAGATACTTTATATTCATGAGGGGTGTTTTACAAAACATATTTTACAACGCCCGCAAGGGGCCCTTATACTGAAAAGGAAACAAGAACCTAATCTATTTTCGAGGTCATATCCCCGAGAGCGCCATCCTCATGAGCTGCACCTTCGGCAGCTCTATCTTCGGGAGCCTCTTCTCCCTCGAGAACATCTTCTTCACCTTCCCCGTCCCCGGAGCCACTCTCTACATCCTCATCGTCGGAAGAATCAAGAAACCTGGCATTGGTTTCCCGCGCCTTTGCCTCGGCTATCTCCTCGGCAAGGTTGAACCCTCGGGCATGGATTTCTTCGAGAGTCTCCCTTCGGGCCCGGCACTTGGCCAACTCATTGCCCTATTTTTCTCTGTCAGAAGCCTCCCTCAACTCAGCTTGAACAGCCGTGACATCCCTTAAGTACATGGCAATGGATTTTTCAGCTACAGCCTTTGTCTTCTCAGCTTCGGCCTTAGCCTGTACAGCTTTGGCTTGGGCTCTAGCAAGCTCTGCCCCTAACTCCTCAATCTTCTTGGCCTGAGCCAGACCCTTCGCTTCAATGCCTTGGAGCCGAGTTTCAGCCGAGGCCAGTTGGTCTGTAACAGCTTCCTTATCGGCAGCGAGCTGATCCATGTTCTTCTTCCACCTATGGCAATCAGCTTTAACTTGATCAACCTCGCTCCGGAGCTGCCCAATCACCGCCAACTTTTGCTGCAGTTGAGATATCGTTGTCTTAGCCTCTGAAGTAGATCCAAGAAGACCGTACCTTGTTGATATCACGGTTACCTGCTCATCTAGCTCGGCTTCATTTTTCTGGGCTTTGGCCAACTCAGTCCGAAGAGCCTTTAGCTCCTCCTCCTTTTGGCTACAAAGGAGCCTCAGGGCCCTCTTTTCGCCCGAAACTTTCTTGAGCTCGACCTCACATTGGCTCAGCTTAGCTCTAAACTTTACAATGGAATATACATGAAGTGAAGATGTATCAGTCAAGGGAAAAGAAAGAAAGAGGAAAGTACGAATATGAAAAGTAAGTGTTTTACCCGAGAGAGGAGATATTGAGCTTCTTCAAACAGGGCGGAAGCATCATTGAGGTCGATAGTGTCATCGATCCCAGCGAAGCAACTCTGAAAGGGATCTTCTTCGAGGACCTTGTTTGGATCGGGCATACGCAGAGTGTTGGCTTCCTCTATTGCCCCCTCGGAATAAGTTGGTAGAGAAAGGGAGTGACCTGTTGTCATGGCCCCGAGCTCGTCGCTCAGGGCGTTCTCATTAACTTTGGGGGTATCGGCATTTACCCCTTCCGGCATATTTGATGAAGGCAGAGGAACAATCTCAACCTCCGAGGACACGGGGGTCGCATCTTTCTTCGGGGTTCCCTCACCACAAGATGAGGTCTCTAGTTCGGAGGGCTTGGCGGCTTCGATGGGTTTCCTGGCTCGAGGCACCAGCGCTGACTCTTCACCATCATTTTCTTCGTCATCCGGGGAGCAGTGGGCCGAATTTGTGCCCGCTTGAGCAAACCTCTTTCGCAGCCCTTCGAGCATGGGTTTTCTTATCTTGAGGGTCTTCAGGCTTCGAAACCCTCTTCCTTTTATTGTCCTTCTCCAATTTCGAAGGCTTGGTTTTTTCCCCGGGCGGAGCCGGCCTCATCTCGGATGCATCTCCAAGGCCTGCACAAGTTAACGCGAGCAAGTTGACGCCACCAATATATGAAAAGTGCTGAAACTTGGGAAAAGCACTTACCATGGTTCTTGGCCTCCCACTGGCCCTTCGATAATTCACGCCACTTGCGCTCATCGTAGAAAGAGGTGGCGGCTAACTTTTGGACTCAATCCTCGAGGTCTGGCACCGCGAGGGGCGCCCAGGCAGTGGCTGCCAAAAGAAGGGTAAAGGCATTATGAAATGTGAAAGAAGAACATGAATAGATACCGAGGAAAAGAATTCCACTTACGATTAAAGTTCCACCTCTCCGGGAACGACATTTTATCCCCGGGGATGATATCCAAAGTTCTTACTCTAACGAACTGGCTCATCCAACCTCGATCTTTGGTCTCTTCAGTGCTGGCAAAGAAGGATTTTGTTGTTCGACGTTGCAACTTGATAAGCCCTCGTAATAGCTGGGCCGATATAGTCGAATCGGGTGGCTGAGGGTGAATTCCAACCCCTCAGCCTTTTCGGAAAAGAAGTGCAGCATGATCACGATGCGCCAAAAGGAGGAGCGAATCTGGCCAAGGGTGACTTCGAACGTTTTGCAGAAGTCAATCACCACCGGATCAAGGGGACCCGGTGTGAAGGGGTAAGTGTAAACACTTAAAAAACCCTCCACATGGGTAGTAATGCTTTCCTCGGGGGCTGGGATCTGAACCACGACCTCATTTCCCCAGCCGTAGTCCTTCCTCACATCTTTAAGATGCTTCTCCGATATCAAACTAATATATCGAGATGCATGCTTGCATCGGCCTGGGACATCAGGGGAATTTTCAATACTAAAGTCCTTTTTAATGACACAAGGGCCGGGGGTGATCTCCTCAAGATTTGCTGACACCACCGGTTTGGCCGGCCGGAAGGAAGAAGAAGACGACGTTTTATCCTTTTTGGGGACCGTTTTGGACGTTTTAGCCATGATTTTAAGCCAAAGAATACAGGTTGTATCAGAATGTGGTGTTTTTCACAAGAACTTGATGTTTTCTGGCACTTAAAGGGGCGGTGAAAACAGGTGATTGAGAGAAAGAGATGAGGAAGGGGAAGATGTAAAGAAAGAGCAAAGTTCTCTACTCAAAAGAATAGCCTCATATTTATAGAAGGGCAACGACGGTTCGGCGGCACTAGTGGCCAACCAATACTGGCGTGCATTCAATGTTTTGGTGAAGTGGACCGAAGGGACGTTTCAGTCACTTCGAATGCCTATGTCACGCAAAAGACGTCATCATTAAAGACTTCAGGAAAGCAATGATCAAATCGTTTCTTATCATTTGATTCTAAGAAACGCGGGGACTATCTGTATATGGTCAAAATCGTATGCCTCCGATTTGTAGGCTCGAGGGTCCGTCATGGGCCCGAGTTCGGGAGAGGTCGAGATTCGAGACTAGTGCATCAAAATCAAGCTCGAAGACAAAGCGCAATGTCCGGGGATAGGAGTACGAGGAATACCAGGCCCAAGTATGCCCGACTCCGAAATAGTACCGTTATGGATTTGTACCGAAGCAAGCTAGACTCCAACCACGTCCCCAAGGTCATATAGCAAATCCCGGAATATGATTGTACTATTCCGTAATAGGCGGTTAGACAACTGTAGCAAGAATATTCCTTACTATAAATGGAAATATACCTTATTTAGGGATTCCGCTATTATATAAAGGGGACCCCAATTATTTATAAGACCATCTTTGACGGAAAAAAGAATATACTCTCTACCTTTTTCGCCTATTGTTCATCAGCTTTGTCCTTGAGCTCTATTGTTCTTACTTTACTTTTCTTATTTTATTGCTCTTAGCACATCTCGAGGTCACCGTCTCGAGGTCACCACTGTCAAGTATTATTGGTTTGATTCACTTGTCCTTTTCCATTCCTACTTCATATTTCTTGATTTCTAACTGGTATTGAACTAAATCACGTATCTTTAAAACCACAAATCAAATTTAATTGTTACTCGTATTTTTCGACGTAAACAGTCATATAGTTTAATTTGGTGTAGCATGTCAGTTTCCATTTTGATTAGGATACAAACTAAAATTTACATGTAATTGCTTTATAATTAATGACATAATTATGTAAATATATTTGTATCAATAATGCATAAAAATACTTAATTTCACTTATCAGGATTACATTGATATCAGGACCCGGGGTAACCAACTTTATCTTCCCTCAGAAACACCATATTAAAAAAAACAAATTGAAAAATGGATAAAAAGGGCAAGATATTAATAATGGTTACATGTATAGAACACACGATTAGTCGTTTACATGAATGATATTGAATATTTCACCAAATCGTCAAAACCAATTTGACTTGCTAACTAGAGTACTAGACCATCAAAACTAACCAAATGTATGACACACGTATGAAGTATGTATCATTAAAAGGTAACCATTAAATATTTGCTTTTAAGGTAATCATTAACTATAATATTTATTTAACTCAAAAAAGGTGAAGTAGAAGCCCCAAATTTTTAAAATGGTAGCTCAAAATCCACAGGCCTCTGAATATTCCCTAAGATATAGACACCAAAATTCAGCCAAAAATATATATCAGAGCCAGGTTTCGATCCTGGGACCTGTGGGTTATGGGCCCACCACGCTTCCGCTGCGCCACTCTGATTTGTTGTTCTTCCCTCACAGTAATATTTAATTAGACTATCGAATAGCAAAAGAAAAATAAGCCCAAAAGTCCCTTGAACTTCCTTACAATAACTTTGCCTTCGTATCTTCGATTTATATTTCTATTCGCTGCCATATCTTTTTTGGTTTTTCACAAAATTTGCTAAATTTTCTATTTCCAATTTTTAAACATGTATGGGTAAGGGGAAGAAGAAAAAGTTTTTATTTTTTTTTTTAAAAAAAAAAAATTTTACACCCATTTTGCGAAAATTTCCAACCGGTACCACTAAACTGTACAACTTTCATGATTTACTGCATCATAAAATTCATCTTTGAGTTGTACAATAATTAGAAAACAAGAAATTTAACTACAAGATTTGTTTGCCAATAACTAAGGTTTTTCTTCTTCCGACAGCTAAGTTTGAAAAATACTATAAAATATAGCTATTTTTTGGTTCTGAATGTATTTGGTTAATTAAAAGTACAACATGATTGATTAATAAGAAAGTTCTAGCTTTTCAGGTTGGACACTAAAATCTTGCAGTTAAAGCCTCATGGATGCTTATATTCATAAAGTAACTTTCACTCTCTTTCACATTCTTGTTCAAGAACTAGATGATATCCTAGGACTACTATTTTATTATGTTTCATCTTGGGTTTTCAGTGTTGTTAGAGTTTGTCATTTGGTGCGTAACAAAATGGAAATATTCTTTATCATACATTTCTACAAAAAGTTCACTGCAACTAGCCTCAAGGTTGTTTTGAAAATTTTTTGTGCCAACCACCAATTTGAACGAGCATCAAGAATCACTAGAGACATGAAGTGTAAAATTCAATTGCATGTCACGCGAGTTGTGTTCACACTACTCTTCCGTTTTTCATAGTGTTAGAGTCTTAATTATTATTTTTGCTTTTCATCTATTTCCTGATTGGCTGATTCTTATGATGTTGTTATTATTTCTATGGTTTCTGTTAAAGGTAATGATTTATTGTCTATTTTCGTCTTCTTGAACAGAGAGTCTATCGGAAACAATCTCCCTCTGGGTAGGGGTAAGGTCTGCGTACACGCTACCCTCCCCAAACCCCACTTGTGGGATTTTACTGGGTCGTCGTCGTCGTCGTTGTGACAGTTCTCATAAAAAATGTGCATAGACAAAAGTTAAGAGCATTTCACTACAGAAAAAATGAACCTGCCAAAAGATCCATGGCTCGATATGGTGAGATTGACTAATTTCATCAATGTTAGCTGGAAATGAGAAAATACAATATCCAATATACAGAAAGTATATCTGGTCAAGATTATACAAGTGTTTAAGATGAGACGGTCCGCGCTCCTCTCAGTGGAGTCTCTACTACAGCTAAATACATTTTTACAAGCTTCTGCAGAACTTGTTCGCATCTGAACCCACAAGTAGTCTCAGAAAATATCCAACAGCAATGATAATTCAAGCTGCAGTGACACCTTACGAGCTTTCTACTCCGTCCTCAATCACAAGAAGAGGGTGGCTCAAAGGCAGATCAGTGAGTTAGTGCCCATTCTCTTGGGCCAAAATGACAAACCAAAGGCATTCAATGGAAGTTCTGTCACCTAGTCAGTAGAGCCTAAAATAATTCCGCGTCCCAATATGTATAATATCTAGCTGTCAATGAAATGCATCAGTTCATCTTCAAACTGAATATTAGTTCAAGTGGGATGAGCAAGAGGTCCGTTAACCAAGTCCTTGTAAATAATGAAGAATATCAACTTATTCTTGGAGGAGGCGGAGAGGATGGCTCTCTGTGATGAAATAACTTGACCAGTGACCTACGCTCACAGTCCTGCAGAAGCAAACATTCAAACAGGCAATGAAATTCCACAGAACTGCTTTTACACAGGTAGACACAAAATTATGTGTCCAATGTTCAACCTAGCAGAATAATGGAGTAATTAGTGGATCACATATGTTTCAAGCAAACAAGTTCATCTGTTGGTGTGTACTTATACTAAAATGACACTGAGAGCATCGTGTTTTACATGTTCAGTTCCTAGGTTTAATGAAAGATAGAGCAGCACAAGTGACATCAAGTTGTCCCAACTTGATAACATGTCAACTTATTTTAGGAAAACGGTGTTAATATTCAAACTGACACAAAACAATATTGCAAAATCAAATCACAAATAGCTTATCCTGGTTAGCAGATAGACTGAAGCAGGTTAAAATACTGCAGAAACATATCTAGCAAA